AGGCTAGTTCAGAGGTATAATGACAGTGTAAATAAACAACTTCTGGTAGATCGGTTCATGTTGGGTGGTTGGGATAATATCGATGATCAACTTCAGATGGCTATCATGTTTTTCACCCACTCTTTTGTATTATCTCAACTTGGTACTACAGAAATTCCAATTGAAGATTTTTTAATGGTTGAAGATGACACTTATCGGCAGTATCCGTTGGGTCAACGGGCTTTCAGAAGTTTAATGAATTCACTTAGACAAGAGTTCAAATCTGAGAAAAAAATGTATCGCTTAAGTGGTATGCCTTATGCACTTAATGTATGGATATATATAAATGTACTTTTGTGTTGGATAATGAGATTGCGGTTAAAGAACAAAATGTTATTCCAAGAATTGTCAATTGGAAAGTTATGGCTGAAAAGCCCAAATTTGAGATGTTTATGGAAAGCGTTTTCACTGAGGTAATTAATATATAAATGTTTAGTATTTTTTTGGTACTTATCGATACATTTTTTGTTCGTTCTAACAATGATTCAGTATTTTGTTATTTTTCAGCATAACTATACAAATATTCAGCCAACTGGAGAGGAATGTACAGCAATGCAATTACCTCAACCCAGTCATGTAACTCATGATGAACCTGGTACATCAAATGTTAATATTGATGTTGGGAAGCCACAAAAGGTTCCTGGATTTGAAGACTTTTCATCTGAACCACCGGATCAATTGCTGAGGAGATCAACAGGAGTCTCTAGCACAAGATCTACCCCACCACCGAAAAGAAGAAAGGTTGTACATCTACATAAAACAAAGGCTTCCAAATCAACAATAGCAGAAAAGCAACCAAATCAAAATGTTTACACTCCAGATTTACCATATTCTCAAGGTGACAATGTATCTAATGTTCCCGTAAATTCAGATTTTTGAAAAGTAATTTTCAAAAATTCACAATTAGAGGGACTGAAGCAATACTTGAAGGGTTATATATTTTTGTGAAAATCATATCTTTTTATAATTATTGTTATTTATTATGAATTCTTTAAAAATTGTGTAATTTGTGTATAGGTTGACCAACAAGTTGGTTGTCTAGTGGAGTTGATAAAAAAAATCATTCTGAGTTGATGAAAGATGTTGGCGAGAAATACAACAAAACTGAAAAGGTAATATTTTTCTTTTTTTTTGTTTCATTTTCATTGGCACATATCGATTTTCTTTTTTTGAACAGAAACATAATGTTGATCAAGATATTGGTGGATCTGCTGTTGATGCTGATGAACAGGTTAATGATATCAATATTGAAAAAGTTTGTATATGACACTTAAAAATATCATGTTATTGTTTTATATGTGATTGCAAATGGTATTTTTATTCATCTTTTTCTTTTCTTACTTTTAATTTAATAGAATTATTTTTTATGTTTTGGTATTGTACAGACTGATAAAGTGGATCAACAATCTGTTTCACCTAATCACATTGATTGTTCAAAGGAACAACATATGGAGGATGCCATAGAGGTTATACACTCACCATAGCGTAGTCATATTTTGATTGAAGAAGTTGCTCTTAATAATGAAAATGTAAGTACAAATATTATGAATCAGTATACATTAATTTTTTTTGTGTGTTAGAATTTAGTCTAACGTCATATTTATTAGGATTATACAACTGGTGAAGCCTCTCATTCAGACACAAAGATTTTAAATGCGGATGAACATGATGTTGATACACTTCAGCACAACATAGAAAAGCATACTACAAGTCTGTTTCCTGTTGATACATCTACAGAAGTGGAAAACAATGTCCAACCACTATGTTTGATGAGTCATGGGGAACTAATTGAGAGTGCTTTTTGGTTATCTGATAGCCAACTACCCACCCAACTACCCGTAAAGAAATCTTCCCTTCCTCCTGATACTAAGACTCCAGCACCACAACACAGGATGCCTTCAAGAATTATACGGTCTCCATATTCAACAGATTTTGGATCCAACGATAAAGGCAAGGCAAAAATAGATGATGATGTTCTCCCACTCTATCCATTTGAAGGTTGTGGTATTCTTGAACAATTGCCATTAGGTATGATGGACGAGTTCTCACAATGGATTGAAAAAGGTCTCTTAAAATCACATGAGAACAAGTAAGTTATTATAATATGTCTTGCTAATTTTGTGTTGTATAATATAATTTTAATTTGTTTCTAAAAATTATTCCTGTGTATAGGAAACAATCCGATGACAAATACAGAGCATAGTCTGGTTCATTTGGTGTTGATTATATTGACTTTGTTGTCGCATTCCCTATGGACAAGAACTGGTTTTATACTATGTCACAGCCGAATAGATGTTGGACTGATGAGGTATCATATACATTATTTTGTCAAATTGTGATTTTTAGGTATCACATTAAAACTTACTATATTATATGTAGTTAATAATAAGTATCAAATACTGTTACACTTTTTTGTATCATGTTGCAGATTGTTATTAATAATAAGTATCAACTTGATTATTTAAAATATATTTATCAGTTAGGGTATCGAATTAGTTTCTTCATATTTTTTCCACTTATCAAATACATTTTACTATGTATTATGTTTTCTCTTATTTTGCAGCATATAGATGTAATCTTTGACTATCTCCGCAAGAAGTCCAAACAAAGAAGTATGGATCAGTATAGATATACTACAGTCAATTGCTTGTTTAAGTCTCATATAAACAAGGAATATTCAAGGTATTATAACAGTCATGCAGATGATACAATTAGCACACAAGAACACATGTTTCGTGCTGCTGTCGTATCAGTTCATGAAAGGTCTATCATTAACATCTTCAATGGTTTTTCTATTCCTACTGCTTTACCATGGCATTTAGTAGATGAGGTTTACATTCCTGTAAACTGTGATGAAAATTTTCATTAGGTGTTGGCTGTTGTTGTTCTAAAAGAAAGGCTTATAAGGGTGTATGACTCAACTTCGGGATCAAGGAAGAGAGTTCATTTTACAGACATCAAGAAGTTGTCTCAAATCCTTCGAAACTACCTTCATGATAGTGGGTTCTTTGAAAAAATGGAGCGAACAGATTGGGCAGCATTGGATGCATATAAAGACAAGAAAACTGGACAACTTTTGGGTCCACAACATTCGTTTAATGTGGAGTTTGCTCAAGACAACATGCAACGAATAAGTGATAGCGTGTGAGTATTGTTAATTATTTTACTTTATTTTGGGATAATTCCAAAGTACCCCCTCAACCTATGCCCGAAATCTCAGAGACACACTTATATTATACTAAGGTCCTATTACCCCCCTGAACTTATTTTATTAATATGTTTTTACCCTTTTTTAGCCTACGTGGCACTATCTTGTGGGCTCAACGATGGTTGACTTTTTTTTCAAACTAGTGCCACGTAAGCTAAAAAGGGGTAGAAAATTACTTATAAAATAAGTTCAGGGGGGTAATAGGACCTTAGTATAGTATAAGTGTGTCTCTGGGATTTCGGGCATAGGTTGAGGGGGTACTTGTGCATTTTCCCTTTTATTTTTTATATCTAATTCATCCTTATAATTAATCTTATTGTTTTTGTAGTGATTGTTGGACTGTTCGTAGTTGTATATGCAGAATTTCTGAGTGACAAAATCAACATGTCATGTAATAGTTTTGAGAGTAGCTATCTTTGCAAAAGATATGCGATACTTTTATTGAAGTATTGTCTGGACAAGATGAATGCTGGATATGTTAGCAACAGTGATGACCCTCCAAGAATGAAGAATGTATTAAACCCATCATCTGAAGATGAAATTGTTAATGTAGGCTAGTTAGTTTTCAATGTTTGATTTTTATTTTGTTTTTTTTGGAGTTAAACAAGATGTTTGAAGTATTTATTAACATAACAACACATATTGTTAAATTATGAAAGTGTTTTGATTTTTAAAATTGTTTATTCTATTACTTTAATTTTTTTTATCACTGTTATGAATTCAGGAATTATGTATACTGTTAGTGGGACATTAATGTCATTATTGTATCAAAACTATAATAATAATAATTACATCAATGTAATTATTGTCACAAAAAACACTTATTATGTATACGTTAATATATTGTATGATACAAAAAAATAAAATTATATACGTAATTATAATTTGTATATGATACATGAAATATCAAAATACATAATATCAAAAACAGTGATACTAGTTATTACACTTGATACACGCCAATTTTTTTTTAAAAAAATTAATATCTTTTGTACAAATAAGATATATTCAGTACTATGATTTATATATATTACGAACAATTATTTGCCCTTCAAAATATGAAATTTTTTTAAGTATCTACACATATGATACTATATTACTAAATTAAATTAAATTAGAACTGAAAATAATTTGGGTGAAATATCCGCAATTAATATTGATTAAAGTAAGTTTGAATAAGGATATAAAATAAAGTATTTGATACATAAATATAATGTCAAATTTAAATAGATTTTAACAAAAAAAAAACTAGAGAACACATTGCCAAATGATCAAAGAAATTTATTGAAACAGAATCTATGTGTAACAGTGGAACCACTTGCTACACTATTACATTTATTAAAGGAACTCCTGAAACATAATCATTATGAATCTTTTGGAAATAAAGTACATGTTCTTCTATTGTGACCTTCTTGTCCACATCGTCCACAACAATTTGTGTTTCCGCTTAGTTTTTCATCTGCATTTTTCTTTCTTTTTTTTCTTGGTCTACAAGACATTTTTGTATCTTGGTGGCAAGACAACTTCTTCCTAAACACTTTCCGGAACTGTCCAATCACTTTTGTCCGGCATTGGTTCCATTGGAACTGCATAGGTGTTGGCTAATGCATCAGGTTTATAGTAATCAGAACAGTATGGGTGTACATCTTGATATTCTTCTTCTTCAAAACAGCCATTGCATGCGCACAAGGTATTTCATCATGCTGAAATCTACCACAAGAACAATTCTTTCTCTCAAGTCAAACGATGTATCTTATACCACCTTCATAAGCTGAAAAAATGAATTCTGAAGATGCAACAACATGCAATAGTTTTTAAAAATTTACTGTTAGATTTTTTGATACAAAAAAAATCTTAAAATATTTAAGCAAGATACATAATATTTGATATATGAATAAATACCTTCATTTTCGAACATTTGGACGCGTTTATAATCAATATCTCTTCAAATTTCCTCCCTAATGTTTCCTTTGTATAAGATGCTATTTCTCTATTTTTGCAGTTCCAAGAAACAAATAGAATTCTGGCTTCTTCCAAAAAATCCAAAACAGGTAATTGTCGTGCATCAACAAGACAACCATTGATACATTCCGCAATGTTAGATGTCATCATTCTACCCCTATTAATGGTTGCATGAGATCTAGACCACCTTTCATAGCCAGCCTCTTCAAGATACTTTTGAACTCCGCCATCTACTTTTTCCATTTTAGTCATCAATTTTTCAAAATCCTTTTTTCTATAAGCCTTAGCCATCGAATAAAACAGATCACTTATAGTGTTTTTACTTCTCTTGTAGTATGTACAGACATTTTTCCTTAAGTGCCATATGCATGCAAAATGTGAAACATTTGGATAAACTATACTAATACTCTTCATTATGCTTTCGTTTCTATCAGAAACAACACACATTTTTTCTCTCTCACCAAATGCATTTTTGAACTGTGTGAAGAACCATGTCCATGAACAATCATTTTCCGTATCGACGATCCCGTAATCTAATGGTAATATGCAACCTTAACATAGTCAACACACAATATTAATATACTTGATACATAATGTTGAAACAATGTTATTATTATCATTTTAAAAAATTATAATTATTCAGCAACATGACATACCTGCCCCATCAAGAGTTCTTGCGGATACAAACGTCCCCGTGTAAGCTCCACTAAGATGTGAACCATCAACAACAACAACAGGCCTACAGAACTCAAACCCTCTCATCAAAGGCCTTAAAGCAATGACTAGATACATAAATTCATTTTTTTTCCGATTTGTGCATCCTTATATAAGAATTTGGATACATCGTTTCCAACATATGTATGTATCTTGGCATATTTTTATATGCATCTGTAGGATTGCCCCTTATCAACTATAGTGCACGTTCTTTAGCACGCCATGCTTGCTGGTAAGAAATCTCAACACCATACATTTCCCTAACATCATCAATTATATCATTTGGAGTATGTTCTCTTTTATGATTTACCCATTTTTGAGCCGTAAAAGCACCAATAAATCTAACAGTAGCTTGTACTTTACTTAATACCCTATCCCTTAATGGACATGTATGCTCACTGTTGAAGTATCTTACTTTGAATATATCAGTGTTTTTCCTAACAGACGCCTTTAATTTCCAACAACAATTCTCCGAATAACACTCTAAAACATAGCTGCAATTATACCATATAAATTTGTTAGTTATTAGTAAAAATGCATACTTGAAACTTTAAGATTTGATACAAAATTTTTGATAATTACAGTCAATGTATGTAAAGGTATGTAACATTTACAATAACACCTCAGATTATATTCATGTCGAACAAACTATTTTGACATTCATATAAATGTGCACTGTTTTTTTAACTCCTACACACGTTCACAGACACGTCAACATAATAATACAAAATAAATTAAATTGTCACAATTATAATTCCATCTTTTACTTATACAAAATAAATTTTTAATTATCCAACACAAAGTGATATACTAACGATGTAAATAATCCAAATTTATCCAAAAAAATCATTCTCTAAAGTGTGTAAACAAAAATCAACTATGAAATACTTACATACCTTTTTGTATCTGACTGTTTAACTCAAAATTGAAGCTAGTTTTAATTTTTTATTTCATCATTACAGCCACAAGCGTTGCTTTATCCTTGTACAATTGTTTCGTCTCCACATTTGATATATTTGTATCTGATATATAATTTTCTTTCTCCATCTCGGGTATGCAACAAGAATCACCAATGTTTGATTCAACAACGTTTAGAGCATTAGCGTCTCTTTGTCCAACTTCAATACACATAATTGCACCACTGCTTGAATCAAAAATTTGTAACTCCTCTGTACTTTTATCATTTGTATCGATGTAAAACGGATACATACTGAATCCAACCTCTTGCTTCTTTATTTCTATAAACAGCTTCACACCCATATCATTCCTAATTATCATCTGAGAAGAATTGTCTTTTACAATATATCGGATAATAATATTTTTATTCAATTCATCAATATTTAATTTAGTAGCATTTGTTGAGATTAGATTCATATATGAAATATTTTCCCCAACCACTATCCCATCACTTTTGTATTGATTGTATGTAACCTCACTCTCCCATATTCCCGAATGCCTTAGCAATATCGCAATATTCATTACGAAACCGGATACAAAATTACCTTCAAGGAAACTTTGAATATCGTTTCTGCCAAAAAAAGGGAAGATCACTAATGAAAATATCATTTCTGCCAAAAAAAGGGAAGATCACTAATGAAAAAATATAATTTAATTTAGAGTATTATATTGGATAAAACTGATTTTGAAACACAGAAGTTAATGCCTTTTTATGGGATTAATAACCATGGCATATTAAAAGTAGGAAATAATTCAAATTTCAGTTTTTAATCCCCCAAATGACTCAACAAACGGATAAAATGGAATACTATATAATGTATCCGACTGTTTTATTATGTATTAGAAACTTATTAAAAATAAGGAATTTTTTGTAAATTGAAAAAGAGAAGGGATAAGAGGTAATTTTTGTTTTACACTATGTGATTTACATTATTTTTACTAATATATTGGCCTTTGGGCCTATATAAAAAAAATTGCTGAAAGGGCCCTGACCCATTTTCCTGAAAAGAAATAGGGTATACAAATGATGTATATTGTTGTATACTGTGTATATCCAGTTCCGTTTTGGATCTTTTGAGCCCTGTAATTTATTTAAATACGAATTCTCTAATTCCACCTGTATTTTCAATATTATTTCGGCGTATTTGTACCTGTACCATTTTTATACTGTTTTAACATTTGTATATCGCTACCCAAAGGTGTATACCAATGTATACGGTCTGCATCTTATGCACGAATTGATTCATTGTTCCTGCATTTTCCTCAATTTGACATTCCTTTACGCTAAACCTGAAATTCGTATTTTTTACACCTATTTGGTTTAACGCGTCTGTATATCAGTGTATACGGATGGTATATCGGCCTGTTTTTCAACTTTCAAAAGTTGAAAGCTCTTTTACAGCAGTATATTTTCACTACTATCAACCTAGATTTCAAATTTGGCTTCCTGTATGTCTTTTGACCTGTATATAGGTGTATAACATATGTATACAGCTGGTATACAGCTTCTTCAACATCTGCAAATATCATTTACCGCCCCTTTCCGGATTTTGATGAACCTGCAATTAATTTCCAGCAGTGCATTTCTGCTGCTGTTCAACATGTACACCATTTCCAGGGACTGACTAGCATCAAGGAGGGTAGTTTGAGCTTTTATGGCTCGAGAAGGGAATGCAATGAGGAGAATCCATCATGGACTCGGAGGGGTTCATACAACAAAATGACGAAAGGAGAGAATTAGTGCCAAACCACAATATTAGAACTAACAAATCAGTTCAAATCAAGCAAATAATACAGAGGGACGTGAAGCCTATGCTCTGCTCGAACCATGTCTTTATATTTCAACTAATTCACGAGAGCAGTGTATTCAAAGGAAAGTAAAATATATATCCGTATTAGAGGGCTGCAAGCAAGACCAACCACGTTCATGTGCAGAATGCGAATGACATATATACATTAACTATAAGTAGAACTAAACCAAATGAAATAAATCAAAAGCTACTGCTAAATCTCTTAGCGATGAACAATGGACAGCATATCCCAAAAGTCGACTAGGTGATTTAGCTTGATAGCAAAGACATCATGTTACAAATTCGCAAGAAACTTTTTAGAAGAAGAAAAAGAAAGCAAAAAAAGAAAAAAAAACTTGAACTCAACTATTCAATGGCTCAAATCAATATGATAATGAATACAAAAACAAGGCGTTGAACCATATTAACTCGTAGGAGAAAAGCACAACATTTGCACTAATATCACATATTTACGCTAAACTAGAAACAAAATACGATCAAAGTAAAAATCTACATACAAGCAGTTCCAAATGGAACTTAAGCATAGTTGAAGCATATCCGACATGACCATTACAGCGAGTCAGTTACACCATTCAAAACAAATAGACAACCAAACTTTAAGCATTCATCAATTCGGATTCATACATTTAACTAAGACGATGAGATGAACGAACAATGATTTATCAAAAACCCAACCAAACAGGCTCTCAAAGATGAGTACATAAGTTGAAATAAGAAAGCAAACGAGGATGGAGCCAAAGAAGTCCACAGAATAATCGTCACTTGACACTTTGGAATCAAAATAATACATGAATAAAGGACGGAGTGTTACCTTTCTCCCGGGCAGCGACTGAGATTGTACTAGCGAGGGAGACAACTTTCCACGACTACAATAGAAATCTGACAACTTCGACGAACTCCCGAAACAGTGAGGGAATAAGAATAGAACGAGGAACGGATGGAACTTTAGACTGAAATGAAGCTGGTTTCAACATTGGGAGCCTGAGCTTTCACTTCCAAATTTGATTTCTATAGGTTGTCTTCAACCTCTAGTATGTAAATTATCCCTTGAACTAGTGCCTTCACTTTCTTCAATTATTTATGTCTATTTGTTTGTATTTTTTGTAACGTGAGATAAAATCAAGAAAAAAACCCTCCCTCAAACAGTGAGGAAATGGCAATATATAGCCATTTCTCTGCGCGTGAGGGAGACGGGAGGGGTCGTTTCTTTTTTCTTCTTCTGGGAATCGCGTGAAGAGGCTGTTTGGAGGAGATGAAGAAGGGGTGGGGTCAGGTGACAAGGAAATGGGCTGGGAAAGAGAATTGGGGTTGGGCTGGGAATTAAATTAATTTGGGCTGGGAAATGAATTAATTTTCAGAATTTGGTTAAAGGGAAAAGAGAAGGAAGCAAAACTGGGCCTGGGGCGGCTGAAATGGGGGTGGGTTTTGGGTTGAAGTGGGCTGGGAAAAGAAAAAGAAAAAAATGGGCCTGGGAAAGATGAAGAATTAGTAATGCGCTGGAAATTGTTTGCTGTAGCAAAATTGATGGGCTTCTTTTATTATAAGGTAAGAAATTGGATATGGGCTGGTGCAGATTAGAGAAAAGGCCCAAAGCTAAAACCTTTGGTGGATTTAAAGTGAGATATACCTAAGTGAATTCATAAATTAGCCAAATAATATTTAAACTAGTGATAAAAAAAATATAACCATAATTTAAACTGAACTAGTTTAATAAGATACTAAAATTAAAATATTTTTAAGATGGTTTTTGAATAATCATAATATATACTGATTGTATACATAATTATGTAAAATATATATATATTATCTAAATGTTTTAAGAAATGACAAACTATTCAAAATAACGCAAACTTCATATTTTTTTTCTTAAAATAATATAGAACTAATTATTTTAAATTGTTTGGAAAATTTAAGAAGCTCATGAATTAATTCCTATCGGAGAGGGTCAATATTGGTTGTCAACACAATACGGTGTATACCTTTGTAGATTGAGACTCTGACGCTACATAACGCAAGTATACGCTTATCATCTTGCAGCTTTTCAAGGAATGCACCGTCATTTTCAGCAAAATCTCCCCATAGATTCATTGTTATATGTTCCATGCTGGATTGATTGTTGGAAGTGAATATTCAATACATAACATAATGTATATATAGATGGTACATTATATAGCATTGCAACTTACAACTCATTTGTAATAACTATTTCCCGTCTCTTGGAATTTCCATTTTCAATAAGGGGATTCACAGTAACTAAGACACACATCAAGTCTGCAGATACATAATGCCGATTCTTCATAGCGATAATGTAATGTGGCAAAAAAATAAGAGCAAAATCGTGTAGATAGTTACCCAGAATGGCACTATTAGGTAATTCATCAGCGTGTTGAAATGATGAAAATCCATCAGAGAACTTGTCTGTTGGAATGCGATGCTCAGTCTCTTGTATGATTGTACTATCTCTGAAGACCAATTCAAGTTCTTCATGCACAGAAGAGTAGTTGGGTTGACGTGATTTAAGAGCCCTTTCGCAATGTAGTAACTCTTATTTGGCTTCAAGAAGTCCTTCCATGTTTCAATATGCTTATAAAATAGAGTTGTTTGAAATTTTGTCCCCTATTATTTAGCGTGGGAGGGGTGAGATTAGTACAACAAAGATGAACCATTGTAAAATACGGTAAGTGAAAGTGTCAACGTTGATACCTCTTTGTCAACTAATATTATTATTCTGAAAGTTCCTTCATGCCTTGAATTCTTGTAAGGTATGAAGGAACCCCTTCTAATAACTAAGACTAGCATGACCGAGTCAACGGAAGCTTTAGGTATCTTTTTTATAGGTACACTTTGTTTTGCTAGTTCCATTTCAGTGGCCATGTGGGTTGTATCTCGATGAATGCAGGTATCTGTGGAGACGGGTGCAGTAATGTTAACCTTGGACATTAATTTGTCAGTGTACGATTGATGAAGTGATACCAGATGTACTCTGCAAGTTGATTAGTGCAGAAAATACAATTGATGTTGTTTTTTAATTAGTGTTAAATGCTCTGTTCAGAGGCTATCAGGAGCAACATTATTATTGATTTATGCAAATAAGCAAGACATAGAAGGTGCTATTTCTCGAAATAGCCAAAGTAAGGATGCTTCTTGTTATACATTTAATTGTGTAGAATGAACATATTGAATGTGAGTCATAGTTGGGGTGAATGTGATGCATAAAAGAGGCAGCAGTAACATGTTGAAAATACAATCAATTGTAGAATGAATATAATGAATGTGAGTCATAGTTGGGGTGAATGTGATGCATAAAAAGGGCAGCAGTAACATGTATAAAAAAGGCAGCAGTAACATGTTAAAAATACAATCGAAAGGTTAGAACTAATGCAAGTATAGAAATTTTGGAACTGAAAATGGCAGGGAAATTAATGGTACAAAACATTAGTTGTGATAGTGGATTTTGAAAGTATTAACGCAATAACATAGAAAAAGGAATAACTTACAACTTGGAAAATCCAAAAGCAGATAAACGGATGTTGTGATTCAATTTTTTCTACTGCTTCAAATTTCTTTGTGCGCAGTAGTTATAAATTAATTTGTGAAGTAAAAGGATAGAGTTTATAAACAAAAATTGTGAAGGAGAGGGGCTGTCGGTGCATACCTGTGCATCAATTGTTAGTTGTTTGATGGGGAGAGCCATCTATGTTTTTTGGAATTATATAGAGTGGGAAGAGAGATGGTACGTCGATTGTTTGAAAGAGGAGTTGGAAGTGGAGGCGTTTTGGAAGGGTTGCTATTGCGTTGGAATGGATTTGTAAAATATGAAAAGGTGGATGTGGTGGTTTATGCGAATGGTTGTTTCTAAGTGGCGGCTTTTGATAGGAATGGTTGTGTGAAAGAGGTGGCCTATGTGAATGGGGTAAATAGCGCGGGTGATAAAGGGTGAGTAAAGGCTAAAATAGTAATTCAACTTGTAAGTTAGGAGTTGATACTTTTAAACTAGGCATAATACATATATTGAACTCAAAACTTTACTTCAAATTTTAACTTTGACCTCCAACTTTCATAATGCACAAACAGACACTTTAACTATCCAATTTTTAAATAAACGAACACATGAGTCCTAAATGGCACAATACACGTAGAATACCACGTAGAACGAAAAACGATATGCAGGATGACATTTAGGACATATTTGTTCAACTTTATACAAGTTTAAGTGTCTATTTGTGCACATCCAAAGTTGATGGGCATAAATTTGATTTAAAACCAAGTTAAAGAGAACATTTTATGCCTTTAAACTAATTTAGAAGATAGAAGAAATGGTTTAGCAAAAAATAAAAACAGAAATTTGGTTGAATTTACTAATATACAATGTCATGCTTATTGGGACAAATGTACCTATAAATTATTGGTAAAGTTATTTTGACTGATTGTTATGTGTTAGAATTGTGTGCCTCGTAAAAAGTCTGAATTGGAACCTTTTGAGTTGTGGAAAGGTCATAAACCAAGTTTGAGATATTTAAGAGTTTTGAATTATCTAGCCTTTGTGAGACTACTTGATCCTAAAATTACCGAACTGAGTAAGAAAGTTATTAGTTGTGTTTTTTCTTGGGTATGCTTTAAATAGTAGATTCTATACATTTTTTTTAATTTTCAAAATTAATATTATAATAGAATATGGTGATGTATTTATCTTGAAAATAAATTCCCTTTTCATTCTAAAAATAGTGGGGATCAAAGGATTAAACAAAATATTTTGTCACTATCATGTTCTTTTACTTCTACTTTTACTTTGAGACAAAATATTGATGATTTTCAGTTAAGAAAAAGTAAACGAGCTAGAGTATAAAAAGATTTTGATCCTTGTTTTATGTTTTTAAATGTTAGAGATAAACCTTTCACCTTACATGAAGTTTTACTTTACATGATTCTACTTTTTTGAATAGAGGTTGTAATGAGGAAATGAAATTCCTAACTTATAATAAAACTTGGTAATTGATTGATTTACCATCGGACTGTAAATAAGCGATTGCAAATGTCTCTTACAAAAAATTGAAATGAAATGAATCTATTGATAAATATAAGGCTAGACCAGTTGCTAAATATTTTAAACAGCTAGAAGGCCTATAATATTTTGATATTTTCTCTCTAATAACTAGAATTACATCCATTGAATTTTTAATTATTGTGGCCACTATTTTTTATTTGCATATTCATCAAATGTATGTAAATCTATTTTTGAAAATTAGAGACTAGATTGAGGAAATTTATATGGAACAACCGAGTACTTTGTGAAGGCAAACCAAGAAAGCAAAGTGCCTAAACTTACTTAATTCCCTACATGACTTGAAACAGGCACCAATAAAATGACATGAAAAGTTTGATCCTACATGAATGAAAATGATTTCTAAACATAATGAGTGTGATAAGTGCATATATCATATGTCTTGAAATAATTTACATGTTATTATTTGCCTATATATTGATAATTTATTTATTTTTGATTTAAAAGTTAATGTTATTGATGAATCTAAAAAAATTCTTAGAAGTCATTTTGGTATGAATGATCTTGGTGAGACAAATTTTATTGCTGGAATAAAAATTACAAGAACATATGTTGGAATTTTATTTAACTTGTCAGATTATGTTGAGAAATTCTTTAAAAATATAACTTTCTTGATTGCAAACATTTTGTTACTTTTTTTTATTAAACTCTTCATTTATTTCCTGTTCCAAAGTGAAAATGATGCATTATTTTAAAAGGAATATGCTAACTTAATTGACATTTGTGATATATGATTAATTGCACTAGGCATCATATTGTGTATGTGGTAGGAATACTTAGTTAATTAACAAGAAATCTAGGTTATGAACATTGACATGATATAACAAGAGTTAATAAGATATTAAATTAGGACAAAAGCATTTTATTTGTTCTACAAAAAAGATAACGTTGTACATGAAAGCTTTACTGATGTAGATTGAAAACTTTATCAGGTAATTCATGTGCTAGCACTAGTTCCATATTTTACTTTTGGTGGTGGTATTTTTTTTGGAAATAAAAAATGAAGCAATAATTGTTAACTCTACTATAGAAGTTAAACTAATTGCTTTAGCATGAGCTTTTGCGGAAGCAAATTGGTTGATAGTTTTATTAATTGTTTCAAATACCTTCTTTTGAAAAACCAATTCCACATATTTTAACTAATTGTGATAGCAGTGCTACAATTGGTAAAGTTCAAAATTATTATTACAATGGTAATTTAAGACCCATAAGGAGCAAACATTGTAATGTGAGATCATATTTGACAAGTGATACTATTAATGTTATTATATCAAATCTTAGGATAATGTTTTATATCCTCTTACTAATTCCTTAACAAGAGAAAAGTTCTAGAGCATATCGAGGGGGATGGGATTAATGTCGATAATATCCTTCAGTCATTTATGAGGAAACCTAACCTGGGGACAAGAAATCATATAACCAAGTGCAATGGGAAAAACAAATTTGATGATGATTTGTAAAAAAAATGCAATATTTTTACATGCTCTCTATGAACTGAGTGCATTGTTTTCTATAATAAATTGTGGAGGTTGAGTTTAAAAACTCAGAATGAAAAATATGTAGCCTGTATGGATGAAGTGTTAACTTATTGGATCACTCTTGTAACACTGCAAAAGTTCCATGACTTAGACTAGAGGTTCACCTATTGAGTAATAATTTAAATGATGTTTGCAGACCTATATTAATGTATTAAACTCAATTGGGAAAGGTTAGACCCATAATGACAAAGAAAGATCTTGATGTCCAAAAACTAGCTAATTTTAACTAGTAGACGTCCCTATATATGGTGAAGGTTTGGGAGTGTCAAATGAAGTCCAAAACTTGTAAAAGGACTTTAAATAGGTAAAATATAGTATGAAGGATCCAAACTTCCTATAATGACTCCCCAAGCTGTCAAAGCAGCTTGCGACAGCAAGGATGTGGAGCCAGCCATGTGTTGCACAAACAACATGAGGTAGACAAAAATTTGCCTCGCGATGCGGGGTCTCCACGAGGTCCACTGTCTCAACTAGGAAATAAATATGTAATTGACCCCGCGACGTGCAGGCACTTCCCAGATTCGTCCACATCGTTTTAAGTCAATTTAATTTCACAAAAATACCCAATTAAGTGAGTGGTCTTTTGGGTAAATTAGGGGAAGAGTTTATAATGGTTTTAGTTCTGTTTATACCACTTTCACGCACATCAAATAAGAATTTACAAATTTCTCTCACCTCTCTCAAAAACTCTCTCTTTTGAAAATCCACTGAAGAACAAGAAAAGCTTGAAGAAGAAGACAAAGACTCCAAGATTTTTATTCAAAATCTGTGGAATAATCGTTAATAAGGTATGAGTTCTTCACTCTTGGGATTCCTTTTCCCAAGAGGTCCTTTCAAAGATGATTTCCAACAATTCACTTCTTAGGGTTTTTAATCTACAAACGGGTTTTCTTCCTAATTCGAGATTTATGACTAATGATGAAAACAATGATTTTTTGTGGTTAATTAAGTATTTATTGTTGGTTAGTTGATATGGTAATGTTGGTTTCTTGTGAAGCATGTTCTTTCTCTAAATAATGGATGTCGATTATGTTATATCTATCACTTAATGTCATGTAAATGTTTGGATTGAAACTATAGCTTAAATGAATTCATAAATGAACCTTTTTCCTTATTCCTAATTATGAATTGATCTTGTATATGACTAAAGTGTTTTTGGTTGGTTATGTTATTGTGTACTTCACTATATTATTGGATTATTGTGGTGAATTGAGTGTAAGAACTTGCAGAAGATTCTTGGAATCAATTGATAAGTCTTCTAATGTCATGATTACTTCACTATGTTGATGTTGGCCTGTTATTGATGTTGTTGTGCAACTGAAATATGCATGATTTTTCTATGCAAATATGTTGGGCTACAAATATGTTAAATGTGGGGTCATGGTAAGGATATGATAATGCAAGTTGGTGATGTTTCTCTTGTATGCCTTACACAATATGATTATGATATGTTAATCTCACAAATGAAAGTTGCGACCAAAGGAAATTCTCATCCTAAACCTAAAGAGCTTATGATCATGTTTATACAAAGAGTTAACCTCCTTTGGCCTATGATAGTACTGATGATTAATGATAACGTAAAGGCAATTCAATAAGGGATTTTAGTTTAGCACTGATGAAATAGATATGAGAGGTGTTCCTTCCATAAGTTGGAAGGTAGGTGCACATTGAATCTCTTGAGATAGAGGCTGCCATGTAATGTGGAACTATATGTCTCTAATATATCTCCTAGTTCTTGAACTATGTTGCCTCCATAGAAATACTAGGTAGTTGATGCACCTAGAATGCTAAGTTCATGTTGGGTCCTACTTTGGCAAGTAGACCACCTTATTTCGGTATGGGTTTTCGTGACACCGAATTTCATGTTTATCTCACATTGTCTAATGTCGTTAAGGCAATTACTCCCTCAAGTTAAATTAATCAGCAGTAAATGGACATTGACTAGGGTTAATTAAGGAGCCTACTTAGTATAGGTAGGGGTATGAGACTCTACCTAGACATCGAAAACGTTTACTCTAAGGGAATTCCTAGTAAGTTGTTCTCATGTAATATGAAAATATGAAATATATAATGCTTATGATATGTGACTTTGTCTATGTTGATTAATATGTAATGGTCTATATCCCTATATGTGATAATGTCTACTTATGTTATAAGATGTATGAAGCAAAGCATTACTTATGGTCTCTTATATTGTTTACTTGATTATTGGGGTGATGGGGCTTCACATGATCATTACACTTGTAGGCTTGGGATGGGAGTAA